GAAAGAGTGCTTGTAGCTCAGTGGATAGAATACTTGGAGGTCATTACATAGAGTGCTTGTAGCAAAGAGGGTAGAGTCACTGTAGCTCAGTGATTAAAGTGCTTATAGCTCAGTGGTTAGAGTACTTTCAGTTTGGTGGGTAGAGTGCTCGTACTTGAATGTGTACAGTGCTTGTAGCTCAATAGGTAGAATGTTCCTACTGCAGTGGATAGAGTGCTTGTACCAGAGTGCTCAGTGCATAGAGTGCTTGTATCTCAGTGGGATCAGTGCCTGTAGCTCACTACATAGTGTTTGTGGATCAGTGAGGAGAGTGCTTCTGGCTCAGTAGACAGAGGGCATGTAGCTCAGTGGATAGAGTGCTTGTAGCTCAGTGGGCAGTGTGCTTGTGGCTCAGTCGGTACAGTGCCTGTAGCTCAGTACATAGTGCTTGTGGCACAGTGGAGAGAGTGCTTGTAGCTCAGTGGGTTCAGTGCCTGTAGCTCAGTACATAGTGCACGTAGCTCAGTGGATAGAGTGCTCATGGCTCAGTGGGTAGACTGCTTGTGCCTCAGTGGGCAGAGTGCTTGTGGCTCAGGGGATAGAGAGCTTGTACCTCAGTGGGTAGAGTGCTTGTAGCTCAGTGTGCAGAGTGCTTGTGGCTCAATCGGCAGAGTGCTTGTAGCTCAGTGGGGAGAGTGCTTGTCAGTGGGCAGAGTGCTTGTCAGTGGGCAGAGTGCTTGTCAGTGGGCAGAGTGCTTGTCAGTGGGCAGAGTGCTTGTCAGTGGGCAGAGTGCTTGTCAGTGGGCAGAGTGCTTGTCAGTGGGCAGAGTGCTTGTCAGTGGGCAGAGTGCTTGTCAGTGGGCAGAGTGCTTGTCAGTGGGCAGAGTGCTTGTCAGTGGGCAGAGTGCTTGTCAGTGGGCAGAGTGCTTGTCAGTGGGCAGAGTGCTTGTCAGTGGGCAGAGTGCTTGTCAGTGGGCAGAGTGCTTGTCAGTGGGCAGAGTGCTTGTCAGTGGGCAGAGTGCTTGTCAGTGGGCAGAGTGCTTGTCAGTGGGCAGAGTGCTTGTCAGTGGGCAGAGTGCTTGTCAGTGGGCAGAGTGCTTGTCAGTGGGCAGAGTGCTTGTCAGTGGGCAGAGTGCTTGTCAGTGGGCAGAGTGCTTGTCAGTGGGCAGAGTGCTTGTCAGTGGGCAGAGTGCTTGTCAGTGGGCAGAGTGCTTGTCAGTGGGCAGAGTGCTTGTCAGTGGGCAGAGTGCTTGTCAGTGGGCAGAGTGCTTGTCAGTGGGCAGAGTGCTTGTCAGTGGGCAGAGTGCTTGTCAGTGGGCAGAGTGCTTGTCAGTGGGCAGAGTGCTTGTCAGTGGGCAGAGTGCTTGTCAGTGGGCAGAGTGCTTGTCAGTGGGCAGAGTGCTTGTCAGTGGGCAGAGTGCTTGTCAGTGGGCAGAGTGCTTGTCAGTGGGCAGAGTGCTTGTCAGTGGGCAGAGTGCTTGTCAGTGGGCAGAGTGCTTGTCAGTGGGCAGAGTGCTTGTCAGTGGGCAGAGTGCTTGTCAGTGGGCAGAGTGCTTGTCAGTGGGCAGAGTGCTTGTCAGTGGGCAGAGTGCTTGTCAGTGGGCAGAGTGCTTGTCAGTGGGCAGAGTGCTTGTCAGTGGGCAGAGTGCTTGTCAGTGGGCAGAGTGCTTGTCAGTGGGCAGAGTGCTTGTCAGTGGGCAGAGTGCTTGTCAGTGGGCAGAGTGCTTGTCAGTGGGCAGAGTGCTTGTCAGTGGGCAGAGTGCTTGTCAGTGGGCAGAGTGCTTGTCAGTGGGCAGAGTGCTTGTCAGTGGGCAGAGTGCTTGTCAGTGGGCAGAGTGCTTGTCAGTGGGCAGAGTGCTTGTCAGTGGGCAGAGTGCTTGTCAGTGGGCAGAGTGCTTGTCAGTGGGCAGAGTGCTTGTCAGTGGGCAGAGTGCTTGTCAGTGGGCAGAGTGCTTGTCAGTGGGCAGAGTGCTTGTCAGTGGGCAGAGTGCTTGTCAGTGGGCAGAGTGCTTGTCAGTGGGCAGAGTGCTTGTCAGTGGGCAGAGTGCTTGTCAGTGGGCAGAGTGCTTGTCAGTGGGCAGAGTGCTTGTCAGTGGGCAGAGTGCTTGTCAGTGGGCAGAGTGCTTGTCAGTGGGCAGAGTGCTTGTCAGTGGGCAGAGTGCTTGTCAGTGGGCAGAGTG